AAATTCAGCTCAAGACCCACTGTTCCTAGAGTTGCTATTTTTCTGAAGAGGTGCTACCTGAGCAATTGTATGCTCTATGCTTTTTGCTTATGTTTTGTAGCTATGAGATCTTTCCACTGCTGAACAGCAACCTGATTTATCAGATCACACCTTGAATTTGCCAAGATAAAAATGTAAATCCTACAGGGGCTCTGGGTAGAGCCTGCAATTCTACCAGCAAGTTACTGCTACTAAGTATGTTTAACCATTTTCTGCTAGCTCTTTAGACATATGCTGCTTATGTGAAGTTGTCATGTGAGATAGAAGCAAAAATCGACTACAGTCAAGTTGTATTGGGCTTCTTTTAGGTCCACATAGCATGATGTGGATTAAGTGGTCATTCCTTAATACATTACTATGAAACCTGCATTACTAGCTTAATCTGCTTAACATTAACATAACCCTTAACATTTTGTCTTAAGATTTTTATTTATAAACTCTAGTTTAAAAAACTCAAGAGTAAACACTTCATATGCAGTCAGCTTGGGAATGGAAATGCAAACACGTGTATGTATTTTTTTTATATTTTCAAAGGGGAAGGAGAAAAATCTTAATTCTGAAATCTGGGAGCTAACTTCCAGGACTTCAAATATTTGAGAAACTTTGACAGTAACAACTCTGTATGTGTAGGCAAGGAAAGAGACAAGTTAAAAACTAATCTTACCATTCACTTCTTTGTGTGACCTTGAGTATCACAACACAAGAAGTCTGTATTGGTTTACAGAGAAAACCAAAAGGCCAACTGTGCATTGATTAGAAGAGGGATTTGGTGAGGAAATAATTTTTTAGGTTCAAGTGTTTACTGAATTTAAAATGCTCTGAAAGAATCAGTGTAGAAAAAACAAGCAGCCACAAAACAAGAAAGCAGTCCTTAAAAATACCTCTGAAAGGAATTTTCCTCAGAAAATCAAAGTGTGTTAGGGATAGAATAAGTTTTTCAGATGACCAGAAAATACAGACAAAACAAACATGGTTAGAAGTGGAAATAAAAAAAACCCAACAAATCTAACCCTAAGACATAGAGTAGATGGGGCTTACTGTCATATTTACAAAAGCTAGACTTATTTGGTTTGGAAAGTAGACTGTCTTACATATAGGAGATTGAGTTTTTAGTTAGTAGTATAACACATGGTTTAAGTTGGCTCCATGTCAACACAATTTGTTCCAGGTACTTAGAGTCACTGGGCTGGTAATTACTAGTAGCAAGGGTTCAATTGGTCACAAAGCAGGGTAGATTCTAAAGGCATACACAGCTATTACTAAGCTATGTTACTTCATTTGCTGCTTGTTTCTAAATATTTAAGAGTATTACACTTGGATTTATCTTCAGAAACAATGAAAGACTCCTGTCTGTATGCACTTGCATGTTGTGGAGACTAAAGCAATATGGTTTTGTATTCAGCTTGTCAGCATTGTATACCGTAGTTGCTTTGAAGAAAGAGAGATTTTTTTTTCCCCATATCTATCAGCTGGTTTCTTTGGGGAATGGAGTAGAAAAAGAAAGATAACTTTAGGCTGAATTCTGTATAGCAAAAGAACAAAAAACCCTGAGAGATCTGTATGGTATCCCTCTTCCCATCTTCTCCTTGGATTCTATCATTAGTCAAGCTGAAACCTTTGCTTCCTGAAAACTTCAGTGCAAAATGAAAGTGCAAAGCCCTTTTCCATCCTCATCCAGATACTGCAGTGGAAGAACGGTGATCTTATATGTACCTAGTAAGAGAACGGGAAGAACAATGACCCTATATGTACCTAGTAAGAGAAATGGGCTTGACAAATTTCAGGGAAATACCTGACTGAAACCATACCTGGTCAAAGCTAAATTTTATTCTGTCCTGGTTTTAGCAGTGGCAATGGTTTTTCTCTTTCTTGGTAGCTGGTGCAGTGCTGTGTTTTGACTTTCAGGCTGGGAACAGAGCTGATAACAATGGTGTTTTGGTTTGGCCAAGGACTTTGTGAGCCTCATGCTCTGCCAGGGAGGAGGGGATGCCGGGAGGAAGCAGAGACAGGACACCTGACCCAAACTGACCAAAGAAGTATTCCATACCACAGCACGTCATGCCCAGGAGGTAACGGGGAGTTACCTGGAAGGGCTAGGTGGACGGCAGGGTTGGAGGAGGTATGGGTCGGTGCTTGGTCGGGCTGGGGGGGCGAGTTATCGGTCAGCTGGTGATGAGGTGTTGTATTCTTTTCCCTTGTTATTTCCTTTATCATTACTATTATTGGTGGTAGCAGCAGTGATTTGTGTTATACCTTAGTTACTAAACTGTTCGTATCTCAACCCGTGGGAGCTGCATTCTTTTTGATTCTCCTCTCCGTCCCTCCAGGAGTAGGGGGAGGGCAAGAAGGGGAGGAGTGAGTGAAAAAGCTGTCTGGCTGGGGTTAAACCATGACATATTCGCATGCTGGAAATGTGCAGATACACAAGAACAAAGAGGAAATAGTCTGACATGACACTGTATATGTCCTGCAAACGGGGTACAATCCAGATAAACCAAAGATTGTTTTCCAAGTACTGCTCCTGATCTTACCAGGTTAAGAGGAAGTAGATAGGGTTGTGGGATAAAGTAGATCCAGGAGGGAAGTTCTCGAAACAGTACCAGCAAACTTTATTAATTTGCATTGCAGAAATGTTCTGTGGACCAGCGAATGTACAAACTGGGAGAGCCATTACCATGAACACCCTTTCTGAGATCTGTCAGGTGCCAGAATCAAATTCTGGTATTAATATGGATGCTGCAAAAGCTAATATTCTAATACTTAGGGATGCAAGGAATTCTCAGATAAAAAAAAAAATTTGCCTCTCTGATTTCAGTCCAGCTGCCTGAGGGGCAGGAGGAGTGAGGAAAGAAATGTTAAGTCCCTTAAAACTTTTAAGGATGGTATTACACCATCTTAAACAAGGGATTAGCTATGAAAGGTCATCCTTTCTTCCGGAGAACATATTTTCCTTCTAAGCTGCTGGACACTTCAGTAGCTGGCATGATTACTTTCAGAATCTTCAAGACCATTTTCGTCTTAAATCTTTCTGTTCTTTAGAATGTGACATGTAACTCAAATATGATCCTCAGTTAACTGGTTCTCTGGTGGAGGGAGTATCATACCCTGCTTCTGGTATAGTGTTGCAACTAGTATTGTAACTTCAGACAAGTAACTCTTGTAATTATTTTGTCACCACACATGGATTCCTGCCATGAATTTCCTTTTGGGCACAGCAGCTTCCATAACTACGTAAGAGCTTTCTTCTGAAAATACCTCTTCCTTTCTCCAAGGAAGTTACGCAAATGGTTAAGACACCATTAGGCTTCAAACCTGAAGGCTGCTGGATGTCCTTGTATTTCTCCTTACCATTCCATGTAGTTCTAAAGCAACTATGGAGAAAAACAGAAACAGTGCTGATCACATTCAGTTTCCCTGTGCTAGACTGCAAATAAGTTACAGCTCAATGTTTGCTCTTTGAGGAGGGGAGATATTTTTCAGCTGCTATGCCACCAAACCCTGGTATATCTGCAGCAATTGCAACAGAAGTTTGTATGCAGTAGTTCAGTTGGACACTTTAGAGCTATGTCAGCAAGAACATACTTTTCACTTGTGTATGCTGTGTCCTCAGTTGAAGTAATGCTGGCATAGGTATGTTCTGCAATCAGTTCTGCTCATGACAGAGGACTAAGGGAGGCTATACGCACCTCAGCTATTTATGTACCAAACACAAAATAGTTATGTTGAAACTTACCAAGCTCCTGTCTTACCACTGGCTAATGATCAGTGTACATTCAGCACCCCATGTAGTCTTTCATCTCTGTTCTGATTTGCTTCATTTGGACCTCACCCTCTTTGCCACTGCAGCTAGGTCTCTTTAAGCTCTCTCAGCTTAAAGCCTTGTCCTATCACTACATGCTCTTGTCAAAAGCACCTCTCCATATTTCTTGTAGGACCCTTTTAGGAAATGGAAGCTGCTCTAAGGTCTTCTGGAACCTCTTCTTATCGAGGCTGAACAACTCTAGTTTTCTCAGTCTTCTAGAAAAAGTTCAGTGTTGGATATTGCAGTTTTATGAAAAAGAGTAGTGGTGTGCTGTCATCAATACGCTAAAATGTAACTTCTTTCTCCTCGTTCAAACTAGATTGTGCACAGTATTAGTTGGAATACAATGCCCCTGGTAGGTATACAGTGAAAACATGTTAACCTTCAGAGATAAACACAATTAGACAGAATGTTGGGGTTCATTTAGAAGTACTAGATTTCTGTCATTCCTTCCTTTTTCCAAGAAAAAATGTCTCCAAAAGTGAAGGATTATGTGTTTTCAAAAGTGAATCTAAATCTGGATTTGCCCATTCCTGCTATACAAAAATAATGAGGATAAATGGCTGCTATTTTGAGACAATACAGTCTTTGTGGAAAGTGTTCCTACGTAACTGCAGATTGAAGTGTGGGTATTGTTTCTGGTGCGAATACCCCTTCTCTCTAGCACTCATATCTGTGTGTGCCACCAGCTATCATTTCAGCATGTATGTGAGGCCCCAGTTCTTAAACACACAAAAACCTCTGGGTTTTTGGGACAGGGCACAGATTGTCCGCCTCTGCTGGCCTTCACAATGAACTCCACCTATTGGACCCGAGACCCCATACTGCCTGCCCACCTTTCTGCTCTCCCAGCTGCCTCTGGGTTACAAGACTGCAGGAACCTGAGGGATGAGCTTGCCGGTGCTGGGCCATAAGGCCACGACTGTAGGATGAACAGCCATTTGCTCTGGACACAAAAACCAGCCTGCAGGTGAGAAGCAGGCCTTCATGCCTCTGCAGAGCACACTGCTTGTGTGTCAGCACACATGAGGAGGCCACGAATGCCGTGACCCTCGCTGGGCTGGAAGCCCGAAGGCCTCGTATTTCTTGTCCCGACATTGACGCGCCACTACCTAACGGGCCCGCGGGCCGTCTTTGCCCTGCCGTGCGCGCGCGCCCCCTGCCGCTGCCCCGCCCTGTTCCCCCTCGCGGGCGGCTTCGCTCCTCCCCTTGGCCTGAGGAGCCAGGGAAGCCCCGGAGTTAGCCTGGCTTCCTACTCCCTCCCCCCGCCTGGCGGTTTCGCTCGCTCTCCCGGTGGGATGGAAGTCCCCGGTGATCCTTCTTCCCGGTAGCACGCGGCAGATCGATTCGGTGCAAAATGCTGGGCATGTATGTACCGGATAGGTTTGCCCTGAAATCGTCAAAAGTGCAGGATGGGATGGGCCTCTACGCGACCCGCAGAGTTAAGAAGGTGGGTGATGGCCGGGCAAGCGGGGTAGCGGCCTGGGCCGGCCCGAGCGGGCGGGGAGCGGCTGCCACGTATCACAGGAGAGTGGGGCGACAGGGCGACTCCTCGCCTCCTTGCCGCCGCCGGCCCGGCTGTCGCGATCTGACTTTTTCTCAGAGCCACTTTGTGGGCGCTGCCTCCACTTCCCGTTGTCTTGGGCGCTCTCCCCTCGGGGGAGGCACCGCCTGCTCTTTTTATTCCCCCCAGAGGGTTGGCCCAGGGAGCTGCCGCCGGGGGGGGGAGGGGTGGGGCGGGGCGCGGGGCCCTACACTTATGCGGTCGGCGGAAGGTTTTCTCTGTGGTTTGTGTGCCACCCATTTTTTGTTTAAACTCGGTGTTTCTGGCGCTGGGGTGAGGGTAGGGCTGGCTCCCCAGTCACCACTCGCCTTCAGGCTGGGGCGCCCCTGTGCGGCCCCCTTCGGCCGCAGGCTCCCGCCGCCTTCCTTGCCGGGCCTGTGAAAAATACTGTTCAGTTGTGGTGCACTACTCTCATACCCTAACCAGGTATTGTCCCTTAACATAATTGAATTGAAAGTCTCTTGATGACCTGAAATCCCAATTATAACTGCCCAGGTGGCTTATTAGCAAAGATAAAGGCATAAAAGTTATGAACCCTCATTAGTGTACACTTAAATGTATTTTCTGTGTTTTGCTTTTTATCCTAGTCCTGGTTTTGGCTCTGAGTGGGTTGGGAGGGCTGCCTAATTTTCCAGTGGTTTCATCAACAAAGCTTAGACACCATCGGTAGGGGGTCTCTTATTTTTAAGGTGCCCCTCAGTATTAACAGGGGGGTGGAAGTGAAAAATTCTGTATCACTGGGCTTTTCTTTTTTTCTTTCCCCCCCCCCCCCCCCCAGAGGTTCTGATCTTTCCATTGAAAACTGGGACTTCACACAGCAGGGAAGTCTCTATGCTACTAGCACTTATTAATCCCTGGACTCTGGAATAGCTCAGCTCTAGACTGAAGCTCAAGGAGATGATTATCTACATATGGTTCTGAATTTCGGTTCAGGGCCTGAGCCCCCTTCCTTGACACTGTTGACAGTTGGACCATTTCCTTACCTGAATTACTCCACATTGCTTTTGAACTCTCGTTCGATGGCAAAGTATATGCTATCGGAGCTCTGCCAGTGTGAACACATCATACAGGACATCCTGCAAACCTGAAATGGTGCCCGTGTGACACGTATAGCATCTGGAATGCAGAAAGTAAAGGCAGAGGCAGTTGTAGTTAAGAGATCTGTTTGTATTGGGGGTGTCTGTTACGGGCTTGTCCTTTATTTGACAACTAATCCCCTGCTGGTAGCACACAGGATTGTGGTATGCAAATCCCTGATCAGAAGTCTGTGTCTGACAGGCGAACTTTGGTCTTTGATAGGCTGAGGAACCAGCTTGTGAGTTGCTGTGTGGGCAGCGGTTGAAACAGGTATTCCTAAAATGATTGGAGACTGAAGCACTGTGTGTTGCCATAGCTGTTCAGGGAAGGATGGATGTGTAAGTGACATGGATGACATGTTGGGTATAGCCAGCCTGTTACTGTTTTCCACAAAAAGAAAAATCACATCTGAAGTGCTCTCAACATATTTTCTTCTCTGGTAATGAGGCAGCAGTACTACACTTCATGGCTGTGATAAAGTAGCTAATAGCAGGTAAATCAGTTCTCTGAAGCTTTGGGATTGGGAGGAGGTGTTGAATATGACTTGACTGAAAGTAAAACACATTTCAAATTATTTTATAATCAGAAATTGCAGTGCCAACTCTCCAAGTGCTAAGTAATTATGAATTAGGCCTCTGAAAATTCTCCTCTTAGCAAAATTTTGGTGACAATACATTTTGAATGGCTGTTGTCTGCCACCTGCTTTTGTGCCTTTAGGTATTATGCTGTGCTTTGAAGTTTTCACCTGTAATCATAAAATGTGGAAACTTTCTGTTTCGTTACTTTTACCCAAGCTGTGATTCTTTTGTAACTTCTTCAGCAGCTCTCCTTTGGTTACAGCATCAGTATTATAAGGACCTTGGTATAATCATCAGAGAACCTCTACATTCCTCAGTGTTTTGCTAAGACTGGAAGAAGATTTATCACTGCTCATTTCTTGAAAGCAACTGTTGAAAATAGCTTTTTTTAATGTTTGAATGATGTGCCTTCATGTCTTTAATAATTAATGTGGTTGACTTTAGACTGTGTTGTATGTCTCACTTTTATTCATCAGGGAGGAATTTGAAGTCTTAGTGTGGTTTTGATTAATATATGACATATGACTGCATGTTTACTAACTAGGACTAATACATGTATATAGGAAGAAAATGCTCTGAAAGGCTAAATGAATAATTACACTTATCCCCATGGACCCTCACGATCCAAGACATGAAGTTTTGCTGTCTCTGAATTCTTTGCAATTTTGAGAAGCTAGAAAGCTTCTGAATCACCTATTGTTTATGTTACATTTATTTTACATTTAGAGCTGGACATCTTGCCTTTTGCTTTTCCTGTTGTTTTGAGCTTCTAGAAGGTCTTAAACATACTACAGTAGAGGTTTATGTGTCTGGAGTAGCTGAGATAGGAATGCTGTATGGTGTTCCTTGTTTTGAGTCAGTATGCAGTATTAAGCTATTGCTGTGCTTCATCCCAGAGGTGATGCATGCTTTGGTTATGGGTAAAATTAACACTGCAAATGCTTTACAAGGTACCTAGGGATCCTTTGGATTGTAAGTACGCAGGTATTTCTGAGGTGAGGGTTGTGGAAACCTCCAAAATACTTAAGTAATTAATCTTTTCAGGTTGTCTTAAAAAGTGTTATTCTGCCACTGAAATGAATGTGGGAGATTAGCTTTTTAGGTTCCTTATTTATTACGTCTTTAAATAATTTCCAGAGTAAACTTATGTTACAGTTTTTCTTTTTTTTTTTTCTATAGAACTAATCTAGATTATAGTCCAATAGGATTCTTTCCATCTTCATAATTGCTATGAGTAATGAAAGATTCTCCAGATAAAACTATGCCCTTTTAGACCTCAGCAGTTGTCATGAGCTGCTTTCCCTGTTGCATCAAGCCTGTTACTTTCTGAGTGAATGGGGAAAGCCAGCTCAGCTTTGCAGGAGGGGTCTGCTCCAGAAAGCGCCTACCTTATCTTTACTGAGCTAGACAGGACCTTACTGTTTCCAGAGAAGTTTTCCTCTGCTGTCAGCTTGGCTCTTCCTCCTCCTTAATCTGAGAAAACAATGCGATTTAAGCAAATTGCCTTTCATGTGACACTTGCATGGCACATACTAGTATGTTTACTGGGGTGTCACTCAGCTTCAGCTGAGAATGTTTATGGCTGTACACATGCAAGTGTATTGACCTATTTTCACCTTCTTTACTGGTAAGATTGAGGGACTCTTCATCAGGGACTGTAGTGATAGGACAAGGGGTAATGGGTGTAAACGTAAACAGGGGCAGTTCAGGTTATACAAGGAAGAAGTTCTTTACTGTGAGGGTGGTGAGGCACTGGAACAGATTGCCCAAAGAAGTGGTAAATGCTCCATCCTTGGCATTGTTCAAGGCCAGGCTGGACAGAGCCTTGGGCAACATGATCGAGTGTGAGGCATCCCTGCCCATGGCAGAGGGGTTGGTACTACGTGATCTTAAGGTCGTTTCCAGCCCAAACCATTCTATGATTAAGAAGAAAATTTCAGTTTGAGTATTAAATCCCAGGCAGGCAGAAATGGAACTGGGAAATGACTGGCAGGGGAGGAACTCTGACCTCATTTGATTAGCAAAACAATGAAAGGCAGTATGGAGATAAGTGAGAGGTGAAGGAGGTGAAGACCCATAGTGCCAGTTTTTGATGTCACTGCCCCTTTCTGTGTTTCCAGAAGGGCTCCAGTTGTTGTCTTTTTACCTTCTGCTTTGTTGTTCTTAAGATTTCTAATGAAATCTTCTTTGTGCACATTTATAAATATTGGCCCTTCAGCTCTGTTACCTTGTCCTGCAATGCCAATTTGCTTTTCCTTTGTTTATTGGCTTTCAGGTGCAATTCTAAATAAAAGGTTGTGGTTTTTTGTAGTTTTTTTTTCTTTTTTTTTTTTTTATTGGTTGTTTTCTCAGAGGAATGATGCGTTGTTCTTCCTCTCCACTCTACCTGTAGGCAACCTATAAAAACTGAGCAAGATACAAAACATGTAGCAGGCTGTTACTGGGGGAAGGGACAAGTAGAGAATATCAATACTTTTATTAGCCATAATAGCATTATTTTTAAAGAAACACCAAAGTTGATTTTCATTATGTATTTAAAATCTGTAATGCTTAAAAGTATATAGAGCTTTTAGACTTGAGTACTGCTTAAAGGATCATTGTGCATTCCAGTTTGTAGGGCTTGTCACTGTAAATAAGGACGAGGTTGGGGGAATGGGGAGGAGCTAGGCCTGTATTAGAAGAAAGTCCTATTTAAATAATTTATCCTTCTGGTAGTGTGATGCCTGTGAAGGAAGAACGTATCAATGGATGCTTCCACAGCATGTGTTATGACTAGCAGGTGGTATAACATTTTATTTATGAAAGCTTGAATTAATTCATAGACATGTGCATACTCCTTTTGTTTTTAAATTAATCTCTCTGTATGATCAAACTCTTAGTTATTCAATGTTTTGATTTGTGACACTTGAAAAAGTAGTATTGCAAATAATCTTGCAAATAAATCTAATGTAAACTTTGTTCTTGCCAAATACTTCCTGCCTTAGTTGGCTGTCTATTGCAAGGTACTTCTTGAAAATTTTGTGAGAAATGTCAGAAATTTCACCCATAAATTTCAGCCTTGTTTGAAATTAAGAAAATGCTGTTTCCCAAAGAGGAAATAATCATATCCAGAAAAGGTATGGTTTTAAGAGATTCTGCAAGCTACGAAAAGAATGGGAATGAGCTGGAAGTTGAAGCCTGAAGGGTGCACACCCTTGTGGCTTTCATTCACTTGCCTTTATTCAGTTGTTTTTTTTCCACTAATTCTTTTTATTTTATAATTGTTCCTTTAGGGTGAAAAATTTGGCCCTTTTGCAGGGGAGAAGCGAATGCCTGAGGAGCTGGATGAGAGCACAGACTGCAGACTCATGTGGGAAGTGAGTAGTCTAAAATGACATTAGCACACCTAGCCAAAAGTGTTTTTGGAATTAAGATTTACCATAACAAGTCCTTTTTCTTTTCTTTTCCCTAGCTTAAAGATACTGTAATGAGATTTTGTACTTACTGATGCTTTTAAAATACACTTTGTGGGTGGAGGGGGATTGACTTATTTAAAACTATAAAGAAACAACAAATGATAGTTTCTAATCACAGAAACAGAATTATTTGGATTGCAAGGGACCTTAAAGATTATCTTGTTCCAGCTTCCTGCTGTGGACTGGGACATCTTCTACTAGACCAGGTTGCTCAAAGCCTATCAAATGAAGTGTGAAAAATACCAAGTCAAGCAAACCAGAAAAATATAACAACATTGTGAAAATTATTGAAAAATGTTAAAAAAAGATTTAAATAGTTTAAATATGGGAAGATAATTGTAAGTTACTGAAATACTGATACATGCTGACTAACAGGTGTCAGTTTGTGGCTTACTCCAAGTGTAATATAAAACATCTTCTGCTGTGACACTTCTAGGGTTTGGCGATTGTGTAAGGAAAGTTTTCAAATGTTAGCAACTTTGTAATGCAGTGTGTAGTTGTGAGATCTTGAGCAAAACAAAAACCTGGTGTTGTGGGCGGAGGAAGGCATAATGAGTTTTGGGACTCTTGGAAGTATTTTATGCGTGTTAGTCAGCAACAGTAGTTTATAAACTAGATTTTGTAATTAGGTCCCTAACAGAGCCTATTTCCTATCATAGCTGTGTTTGCCTGTAGTAAAAATCTCTCAGTTGAGCAATTGAAGAAATTACACTAAACGAAAAATACTTGTAATAGCAACATTTCCAAGTTGTTAGAAGAACCTGCTCTTCAGTGCTTCTATCTTTATTATCTTTCTTTTATGCTGTAGTTCTTTGAGCCGAATTCCTTTTCTTCCCCTCAACCCCCAGCGGTTTCTATTGAATGATATTTAGTCCTGGTTTACACCAAGAAGGGGACTCACTTCCTGTTTTTGAACCTTTCTATGGTTAGAGATGTAAGGATGACTTATTTTTCTGTTGTGTGGCACTGTACAAAAAATGCTTATGTTTGACATATGGCTTGAAGCACTTTTTATGCATTTATTACACAATAAATGTTTATTTGGAAAAAAAAAGTCCCTTCTAGCATTAACATCACTGAGTGGCTTATAAAGAGCATAGTATTGATACAGTCTTAGTAGAGCTGGAAATAGATTCTGTGCTCTGGAACAGTGAGTAAGAGAATGCTAAAAGCCTGTCACATTAAACCCAAAATCAATACAAACATAGTGAGTGGCAAAATATTCCCAGATGAATGCTAGGTCTTTGAATCCCTGTGCTTTCGTTTTCCCCCTTTCCCTTTTTCCTTTTCTTCCTTCTTTTTTTTTTTTTTTTTTATTTTACTGTGTGTTCAAAGTATCCTTTCCCAGAGAGGAGATGTGGACAATTTGTTCCCCTCTCTTGTTATGTACTCAGAGCAGCTGGCTTCGTCTCCTTTGTTCTCAGTTGAAAACAAAAAAAATAGTGTGCTTTTATTAGATATATTTGCTGTACATGTTAATGTGCCCTGGCTCACTTGCCTTTTCATGGTTTCTGCAGGTTATTTGAAACCAGTAAAATACTTGAGCTAGAACAAGGTTTTCAGAAGGGATAGTAGGGAGATTATAGAAACGACAAGGTCTTTAAGTTTGTTGGAAAGCCATGTGATTTTCCAGATTCCTTATTGCTGATGATTAAACGAGATTTGCTTGTTCATGTAAGACAGAAAATAAAAAGCAAATACATGGATTTACTGATGACAATAATATGACCCCATCAACAGCAAACCAGCAAATGAGTTTTTTATGAGCTGTTTGAAAACCATTTCATAATATCTTACTGTAACGTAGTTTTGAGAGCCTTGAAAAGATTCCTGCATACCAAATTTTATGACTTCCTGAATGTTTGAACCCAAGTTGTTCGTGTTTACTGAGGTTGATCTGAGCATGAGCTTTATAGTACAATGTAAATCATGCTGAGAGTAGTCTTAAATTGAAAATCAAGACCAGGAATGCAGAAGGTAGAAAGCTGAACACTGCAAATAGATAGTTATTGCAGAGACTGTGGGAGGCAGTCACAGCAACTAGCCAAGTCTTTGGGTAGTCAGTTATACTGAAGATATGAAAAATAATTAATTTGAACACTGTTGGATGAAGGCATGCTAAAGCTTGGCCTTGCAGTCTGATGGCAGTCAAAACAATGCATTTTCAGAGAGGACACCTTTAGGAAGAAAGCTAAGTGGTAGAGGCTTTTTCTAAGTCAAGTAAAAGTGAACATTGGTAGAACCTTTCATTTCTTGGCATGTGATGCCTGGGATCTGAGCTTCAATTTTGTGGAATAGTTTTCTGTGAGGAAGTTTACCACATGCATTTCTAGTTGTGTAGAGTAGTGGTCTGTGATGTGATCTCTTTTGATCAAGCTATTCATTTTTCTCCAAGACCAGCATTTTGTGTTGGCATCTTTAAGATGTCATGTTGAGACAAAATTGTACACATTTTGTTTTCTTTTGGCCTTCAGGAAAACATGGAACCCAACAATTTATTGTGTCCAATGATTTTGTTAAATAAAGTTCTGAGGATATTAGAGATTCTGTTTGAATTAAACCTAGCAGAATGCTGTTAGCCTGGCTGTAACTTGCAGAGTGTTGAAGAAATCAGAGGCTTACACTTGCTCGTTCAACAGATGCCAGAGGACTTGTGGTGGTGGGGGGAAGTATCTTTGATCTTGCTGTTATTTTTGTAAAGAGCTACATGCTAAAATGTTTTACTTACAAGTGATGTGAAAGGGGAAAACCCCCACAAACCTGTGGTAAACATAAAGTTAGGAGTAGTAATAAAAAGCCAAGAAAATGTCCAAATGGCTTCATGCTTTCTCTCTCTCTTTCTCTCTTTCTCTTTCTCTCTTTCTCTCTTTCTCTCTCTCTCTTTCTCTCTCTCTCTTTCTCTCTTTCTCTCTTTCTTTCTTTCTCTCCCTGCCGACTTTCTCCCTGCCGACTTTCTCCCTGCCTTTCTGTCAAAACTGCACCTTCTCATTATCCCCCAACCCCCATGTCATTATCTCTCAGCCTGAATTGCATGTTAAGGCTACTTAAGCAGGCAGCTAGTTGCTAGTGACGAGTTTTGTTCTTATTCTTAGTATCCCACTAGCACCTTGATTAAACACTGCTTTGTTGGTCTGTATTAGTATACTTGGCATAGAAACTTTAAATTAATGTATTTGCTGGGAGAGCAAGTGCTTGAAGGCAAAACCAAAATAATCTTTAGGTGTTGAAGTTCACAGAAGTTTTTGCCTCTGAAGGCTCAGATGTCTCTTTGCAAATGGAAGATATCTGTTCAGTTTATTTTCTTTATTGTTCCTCACCAAGAAAGTGGCATTCATTGGATTGTGGCAAGCGTATACTTTTGGTGATGACTTTGGCAACTGTTAAAACAGGGACGGCTGGAAAGACTTAGTCCTTCTTCAGATACTCTGGTATACCATGAAGAAATGTTGGTCAGGATTGGATGGCATATAATATGCTGTGTAATGCTAAATGTTACATATTTCAGGTTTGGTTTCTATCTGTCTCCCAAGATTATGTTTTCTTCATTGTTACGTTAAAACCAAGAAGAACATGCTGGAAATGAATGCGTTACTGAAACCAGTAACGAGTGGTGTCCCTCAGGGATTGGTGTTGGGACCGATCTTGTTCAGCATCTTTGTCAGTGACATGGACAGTGGGATTGAGTACTTCCTCAGCAAGTTTGCTGATAAGACCAAGCTATGTGGTTCGGTTGATACGCTGAAGGGAAGGAATGCCATCCAGAGGGACCTTGACATGCTTGTGAGGTGGGCTGATGCCAACCTTATGAAGTTTAACCATGCCAAGTGAGAGGTCCTGCACCTGGGTCAGAGCAGTCCCAGGCACAGCTACAGGTTGGGCAGAGAAGAAATTCAGAGCAGTCTTGCGGAGAAGGACGTGGGGGTGTTGGTCGATGAGAAACTTAACATGAGCTGGCTCCAGTGTGTGCTTGCAGCCCAGAAAGCCAACCGTATCCTGGGCTGCATCAAAAGGAGTGACCAGCAGGTCGAAGGAAGTGATCCTGCCCCTCTACTCTGCTCTCATGAGACCTTACTTGGAGTATTGTGTACAGTTCTGGTGTCCTCAACATAAAAAGGACATGTAATTGTTGGAAGAAGTCCAGAGGAGGGCCACTAGGATGATCAGGGGACTGGAGCACCTCCCGTATGAAGATAGGCTGAGAAAGTTGGGCCTCTTCAGCCTGGGGAAGAGAAGGCTGCATGGAGACGTCATAGCAGCCTTCCAGTATCTGAAGGGAGCCTATAAGGATACTAGGGAGGGACTCTTCATTAGGGACTGTAGTGATAGGACAAGGGGTAATGGGTTCAAACTTCAACAGGGGAAGTTTAGATTGGATATAAGGAAGAAATTCTTTCCTGTAAGGGTGGTGATACACTGGAATAGGTTGTCTAGGGAAGTTGTGAATGCTCCGACTCTGGCAGTGTTCAAAACCAGGTTGGACAGAGCCTTGGGTGACATGGTTTAGTTTGAGGTGTCCCTGCCCATGGCAGGGGGGTTGGAACTAGATAATCTTAAAGTTGTTTCCAACCCTAACTATTCTATGATTCTAAATTAGTCTTTCTATGGGAGCTAATGATCATATTTATTTATATCAGAAAAGGAAATGCACTTATGTTTCTACTACTTAACTCTTGTTGCTTTGGCAGTGACAGTTGTTCAGTTGTTTTCAGTTAAATCAGCCTGCCTGAAAACTAGTGAAGGCAAAATGAAATCTGCTGTTGGGTACAATTCACTTTAGATCATACCTTTAATGTTTAAGATTGAGGTATGAGAAGGCAAATGCTGTAAGCTAATAGTGGTGTGGGTTGGTTTTTTTTTTATTGGTTGTGTTGTCTTTTGTTGTTTGTTTTTTGTTTGGTTTG